CCTCACCTAGGCCCATATACCCCAAGATTTCTTGGGTTATGACCAGGGTCGGTCATCCCCCAAAATGAGAGATGTAAAGACGAATATATCGCCCTGCCCCCCTACCCTTCATTCCAAATGATAAAATCCAAAAAGTAAAATGAATAGAATGCTTAGTCATCTTTCAATGACATTCCAGCGGGATGTCAGGAATCGACGTTCCCAGCGGAGATCAGATCTCCGGGAAGAGTTATTTTAATTCACAGCATGGATTACTTTACTTTTATTTTACTTTTACTTCTTTACTTTTACAGCTAGTGATTTTTCTTGGGTAATTCTGATCAAAGCCGACAGCAAAAACAAAGGCTTCGAAATTAAAATCAAAAAAAATCTGAATTAAAATTTAAGTAAGTCCGAATACCCATGCACCCAGTAAAACTTTTAGGGGAGAAAACTGCCATCAAGCTAAACACCAGCGAATGCAAACACTGATCAAAGTAACCTAAAAAAACCGGAGAATCAGGCGGAACTGGATTAACATCTGTGGTAGATCCTTCAAATTCACTGTTGCAAAAGGAAGAAGTGACAAATTTGGATAAAAAAATGAAAAAAACGGCCGAACCCAGAATCGTTCTAAAATCCGAAAATTGATCTAAAAAAGTTCAAAAATCGATCCGAAAATTCAGGAACCCAGAATCGGTCCAAAATCCGAAAACTGAGTTAAAAAAATTCAAGAAGCGATCCGAAAATTCAAAAATCGATCCGAAAATTCAAGAAACAACTAAAACCGCGAACCTGACTTGAAAGATCATCAATGTCCCGGTGATAACACGTAAATTCTTGAATTCGGGGAACTCTTCATGCGTGGCATTTGGCTTTGTTATCATTGCAGCCGAGAAATCACCCTCAATAACTGTACAATTTTTTAGTGTTTTCCAATCTACATTTGTATCTCGGTGAACAAAAGCCATGTCTGGTTGGTTCCGAAGATCCAGTGTTTGGCAGTACACATCGTTTAGAGCAGAAACCTGCAAAAAAATGAACACCAGCTATTTACTGATCAGTAGCATTTACTCAAATTACTTCCTTTTATTAAATTAACTTTTCGCGTAAATTTTAACTTGTTTCAGTGTGTGTGTGTGT